GATCTCATCCTTACAATTTTCTTCGTAGGACGGTATATAAAGTATCACTTTTTATTTATTTTTAATGCAACATCTCCTTGTTCAACTTTATATATCGAAAAGGATAAAAAATCAAAATTTAATGTTCAAATCTTGCATATTGACACCATCTTGAGACCCACCTCCCGACCTCGTCGGTACTAGTCCAGGACTTGTTGGCCGGTAGGGCCATCTAGAACAAATTTGGGCCCTAGATAGTCAAATAGAATTTAGTTTTACATTTCATTTCAATATATTTTGTTTATCAACTATATGGAAGTAAATAACATACGAAATGCATATATACTATTAATGTAAGGATAATATTTCTTCATAGTCATTCGCAAATACGAGAATTATATCTATTTCTCAACAATGTTTGATGGAAAATGATTGTGTTTACTTACCCGCTATATATAGAGCGGGGTAGTCAACAAATGATTTACGACCAAATCTTTTCTAGTTTAGTCTTTCTCTTTGTATAACTTGAATCAGGTCTTTTCTAGTTTAGTCTTTTTCTAGTTTAGTCTTTCTCTAGTTTAGTCTTTCCCTTAACCACAAAACTTACAATTTCATACGAAATTATATATAGTACGGAGTAATAGATAAGTAAATATTTGAAAAATAAAAAACTAAATCTCCATATAAGACTAAAAATTAAATAATAGGTAGCAGTAAGTAAGAAAATATTCAATCCAAGTACAAACGCAACTAGATAAATTTTGCAAAGGAAACTAATTTCACAAGTAAAAGATAAGGAATTCACTTTTACATATAAATAAAATTACAACTAATAAATTAGAAAATTCAGTCTCACAACTAAATGATATCAAACCATGACAATTAAACCAGTTATCTTTCACGATCTATGAAATCCACAAAGATTACAACTTATTTTAATCATTTTAATTATTTACACAACTAAAAGCTAAATGTATAAATAATATAATAAGCATTAAAATTTAAGAACCCTACAAAATAAATAAAAACAGTTAGAACCGTGAACTTGGAAACCCATTAGTGTAAGTTTAAATCAAATATAGATAAAACACTATCAACGTTATTTAAAAAATTGGAGGCCCCTCCATTTGGGGGGTCCTAGACATTTGTCTAGGGTAAATGGCCCTAAAGCCGGCCCTGTTGGCCGGTTTGTGATCTCAGGTAAGTAATTAGCCAAATCTACAACCAGATATATGCGTACTTGTGACGAAAAGAAGACAACAGAAAAGTCCACGTAAATCTTTGGTGAGAAGAAGAGACAATTGCAGAGAATTAATATACTAAGAATAAGTTAATAGTTCACGAGAATTTATGATTTTAGAAGTCAATAAGAATGGATGGAAATTTGAATACGCATGTATTTTTATAGATTTTTAAAAGTCTACGTTGAATGCACCTAGATTTTTGTAGACTTTTAAAAGTCTACATTGAATGCACCTAAACTTTTAAAATACATGGACTTTTAAAATTTGGCACAAATTCCTAACACAATACACCCCCTAGATTGATAAAATAAAAATAAAATAAGAATGATTTATATCAATACAAATTTTACCAAATTTGATACGAGACAATTTTAATAGGACGAATTGGAAAAAGAATATGAGACAATCTTAACGGGACGGGAAGTATTGTTTCAAAATATTTTAATTCAACTCAATAATACTCCGTAGTAAGTCTCAAAAGTCTGTCGTTATGATAGGATTATATCTTGAAAAGTCAATTAAATTAGAGAATGGACACAAAAAATTGTCTATTAGTTTTTCATTTCATTTGAACTTATAATATTCTCACCACCATACTTTTTGGAAGTCATTGATATTATTTTCAATTGTGAAGTTTCCACACATAGAGTTGAAGTATTCAATTCAACCTTATTGCGACTTGCGAGTGTGAAGTGTGAACCGCATCATTATGGCCAACACGTACTGAACTAGCTAGCATCTCCTGCCAAATCATTATTATATTTCTAATATAGAGCCTTTAAAAATACCTTGGTAGGTCTAAAAACACCAGTAGTATATTAATCTATATTTGTTAAATACAATTTTTTTTGTCCAAAATCAAAAGTGGCATAAATTAAAGGTCCAGCTAATGTTAATGTTATATGTTTTGCTATACATTTTTTAAGAAGTAGGAGTTCTTTAATTTTATAGTGTCTTAAAAGAAGTACTGAACCATTATAGCGATAAGGATAGTTCTATAATAAGTGAAAGGGAATTTTAAGCACTCAACTCTTATCACACTTTTTAACTTTAAAGTTCTCAAATTAAATAAAAATATACATTTGAAAACGCTACTCTTAAGTTTTAAAATGAAAAATTAGAAATCTATTTCTAAATCTTTCTAAACACTTTAAATGGGAAGAGTTTTTGTTACAATGACCAATAAACTTTTTGTGTTTAACTTCTTAAAAAAGGATGACACGTCACCCATGAGACCTCCCTAGAACCGATCGAACAGTTAATTGAGCTTCAATATCACTTTTATGAAAAGAGAATGTGGTTCTATTCCAAATCATTACTTGAAGTTGAACTTAAGATCTCTTCTTTATAGCACCTCTTCCTATCGGTGTGAGCTACGCCCCAGTTCTTTTAGTTCTTTTAATTGTTCCAAAAGGTGGAATCTCTCACCCCAGGAGCCCCCCACCCCGACCCGACAGGATGGTGGGGAGGTTAGTCACGGTGACTCAGTCAGCAGAATGGCAGTAGGTTCATACACCCGTGCGCACCAGAGGCCCAGTCTTATTTCAGGTTCTGTGACTTTCACCCGATCGCTGCGGGGATTCGAAACTTGGTCCATTGTTCCAAATCTCTCACCACTCGACCAACTGAGCTATCCGTGAGGGTAAATCTTTTAGTTTTAGTTCTTTTAACATTCTATGGAGTGGGGATTCCCACGCGATACCACACAAGTTGCAAGACACTCTCTATTAAACCCACTGGTGGTTCCAATCTTCTAGTCAACGGCTATTGTTTTGTTGACAAACTTTGCCAATTATAGGCACCATTCATTTTCATATATGCTCGCGCACCTACCTTTCTTGACTCTTTGGCACATACAAGAATTCAACCTACCACCCTCCCTTTTTGGCTTCCTCAAATGGCAAATTGTTTGATTGGGACTTTGAAACAAAAAAAAGTTGAAAACAAGGATTGAACATTAAAAATGTTTTTAATTGGACTTGGTGTAAACATATTTTGTATTGTGTATACACTCCTTAGTTGTCTGTTTACAAGGTAGTTTCTGAGTAAAGCGCCCGTTGAGACAGAAAATTAGAAAGTGTACACAAAATGTGAGCAAAATATGTGTATCAATAGCACTAAAGTGAAATTTTATAGTCTGTTCCGTTCTAAATTAATTTGATCTGATCTATTAAATCGGGTTTAATCTATTTTGATCTAAATCAATTTTAATATCAAGTAGTATGGTGTTCCAAAGTTTTAAAAAATTGAACAAATCTTGAACTTCCAAAATTAATATACAACATCGCTTTCTCTTTTATACTGTATTTGTTTTGACATTGTCAATTGCTGCCCTTATCCAACAAGGCATACGCAGTATCGATTATCTTTATTTATCTGAGCATCTTTTTGGCAAATTATTGATAAAGGAACCTTTACGCCGACTTTTGTGTTATTCGTTTAGATTCAATCTAATTTTAGCGTTGTCTTTATTTTAGTTCGGTATAGTGACTATAGTCCTCGCCTCTACGGGTCAAATTATATATTATCGGATACGATTTTATCTACTTTTGTTTTAAAGGAAAAACTTCGAAGTACTACGTATATGTATTGAAGATCCACACCACAAAATGCTATATTAACATTTTAGAATGAAATTTCGAGTCTTAACACGATATTAAAGATAAATCGATTAACTATGATGTAAGCCTAAAGCCCGTAAGCCCCTATGAAAAAATGAGATGATTAAAAAAATGTTAATGAAGAACCGATGAAAAACATGACGGCATGGTCAAGACGAAGTCCCACGCCGGAAAATGATATATTAAGATCATGGACTACTCCATCTATCAGTTTAACCATTAAGGATGTAACTTCAGATCTTAGCATGGTATTGGAGTCAAATCAATCTATAAGACTATAATTAATAACTACTCCGTATGATTTGAGCCACTGTGAAAGAATGATGGTGACGATTATATAAAATGATGTGAAGAAACGATGAAATAAAAAAAATTATGGCACGGTCTAAACGAAATCCACACCGAAAAATCCTATATTGAGATCATGAACTTCTTCTCTTATCAAGTTAACCTTTGAGCATGGAACTTCGAGTCTTAATAATATATTTTTTCCTAAATAGAGTAATTTAATTTGCTGCAATCCTGAAATTTTATTGTCATAATTTTCACCGTATATCATGCTTTCAATTCATAGGGCAATGTATTGCCATAGTTAACAGTATTTTCATACTACGTTTTAATAATTCAAATTTAGGGAATAAAATAGAGTACCTTTTGCAGGAAGTCGACATTGATTTTACTTATATTTAGAACAATTTCTTTTTATTTTATAACAATTGTTATTATTGAAAAAGTTTAGTTTATAACAATGATATCAATTTGTTAGAATAAATTTCACTTTTGATCCTACGAGTTTCAGGTCAATTCCACATTTAGTCAACATACTTAACTTTGTTCGATTTTGATACGAGTACATGACTATTGAGTTTTCATCCATAGATGGTCCTTCCGTCATTAATTCCGATAAACTGCAAGCCGAAAAATGACCACAAAAGGTTAAAAACATTAGTCAAATATCAAAAGTGGACAAAGTGAAAGACATGAACTAAAGGTGTCATTGACACAAAACTCGTAGGACCAAAAGTGGAATTAATTCTATTTTATTAATATTACTAGAAAAATTAAAAATTAACCGCCACTTAGCAATGACTAAAGGACCGCCCTTTTCCGTCTACCTATATATCTATATAAACATGCACAACTCATGAGTCATGATAGACTTGTCTCATGAGTTCTCCCACCTTAATGTAGTGGAGATTTAAGTTCAGATTGAAATTTCCTTCCACGCTGATCTTCTTGGATTATCACTCACTGATTGAGTGTTAATTGCCGGGCATGGCTACCGGAAAAGAAGAAAGCAATATGGTTTCCGGCCACATTCCGGCATTTGATCCGGCCAAGAAGCCCCCCAGAAACAAATATGCCCTGGCCTGTTCCTTTTTAGCTTCATTGGCTTCCATCTTGCTTGGTTATGGTAGTAATCTATATTTCTCTCTATGTTTCACGGAAACGTGGGAATTTGAAACGACACTTTTACTAGAAAATTGATCGTTTCGAGAGTTTTCAAAGAATTTACGTATAGTTTCTGAAATGGAAACACACTCTTTCGCCCGAGTTTCCTTGCTTCATAAGTCTTTTTACATTTTTCATATTCTAATTATCTTGAGTTATATTTGAACTTAATTGGTTCTTTAATTATGTGCTTAATTAGATATTGGTGTGATGAGTGGAGCCATTATATATATCAAAGAAGACCTTAAAATAACGGACGTCCAAGTAGAAGTCCTGGCGGGGATACTGAACGTGTACTCTCTATTTGGATCTGCGGCGGCCGGCCGGACCTCCGACTGGATTGGCCGGCGGTACACCATGGTGGTCGCGTCGGTGATCTTCTTTGCGGGAGCCATCTTAATGGGTTTTGCCCCAAATTATGCTTTCCTGATGGTGGGGCGATTTGTAGCCGGCGTCGGAGTGGGGTACGCACTCATGATTGCACCGGTTTACACCGCCGAGGTTTCGCCGGCGTCCTCCCGTGGCTTCCTCACTTCTTTCCCTGAAGTTTTCATCAACGCTGGTATGTCCCGTTATTCAATTCCTACTCAAATTATATACATTTTAGATACTGTTTGAATGGTTTGATGAATGTGAAATTGGTGGAATCGGATCAATCTACTAAAATGGTCGAAATTGGAGGAGAAACAACTAGATTTGAAAAAATATGGAAAAGTTATGAAATAAAGATATGAAAAAATGGGGGAAAAGCTAAAATTCGATCTGTTTACCAACTTCACCCAATTAATGAGAAAAAGAAATTTCAATTTAATAATTTTAATTATTACACAATTCGACGTGCATAAACTAAAATTTAATACTTCACTTTCATAAATAATTAACTAGAGAGTGAAATAAAACAACGGAGGTCACCAGATAGGGTCTTAATATGATTAGGAGTCCGTTTGATAACACGAAAATCGATTGATTCAGCTGAATCCGCTGAAATTTATAAAGTTTTGGTTGGAGTGGTTGCATTAGCTGATTCTACTGATTTAAGGAAAAATTATCTTTCAAATATATTATTAATAAAATAAAGAAAAAATTATATGTACAATAGCTAAAATGGTCATCTACAATAACTTCAGTCAATACAGTCAGAAAAGTAACTCCTACGTTATTTTTTCTTATTATTACACAATTCAGCGCGCGAAAACAAAAGTTACGTGTTTAGTGTAAAAGTTAGTTGATAAGTCCGATAAGCCGAAAAACAGTGTTACCAAACGGCCTCTAGATGATCTTATAAACTACATGTTCTTCTTTTTATGTGATATTTTTATTAGAATTCACATTTTATATATACATTTCTCTGTTTGAAAAATTTACCCTACTCTTTATTTTGTCATTTCCTATTTTTCACTTTTTCTTCTCTTTACTAGGTTTTTTTTGACTATTTACTTCCATCTTCCTCCTTTTTCTATTCTTTTTCCTTTACACCTTTTATACTGTTGTCATTATCTCAAGGAGTAAAAAATCTAAGGTAACATATTAAAATCAGAACTATCATTCTTGTTCAATATAGAACAATTAAAATATAACTGTCAAAAAAATTATTTAAATACGGAGTACAATTTACATAAATAGTTAAATTTTGATTTTTTGAAAGGAAAACGATTATATTGATATCATTAGAATCATGATCGTTACAACAATCTCAAAATCATCAGAACTGACAACACCAAATATTACTTTTAGTTCTACGATTAGACATAAAGACAACCACCTCTAAAAGAACAATAGGAATTGCTAATCACTAGACCGGACTTAATGCAGCTATCGTTGAAAAAATAGATGTGTCCCCCGCGTCACTCACGATTTTAGACTTTTAGTTTAGTGAAGTATGCTAAAATTGACCTTATTAATTTTATCGACTCTTACCTCGATTCGTCCGCACGTGGATTGACAACACGATCACAGATCACTTATCACTTTCCAAGAAAACTAAATATATGGGAATTAATTTCGCAGATCCATGAATAAAGTCTACTTTGACGGGCGATGGGCCATTAAATCTTGTCCAAAGTCAAGCTATATAAACTACTCATCGTCCCGCTAACAATGAGACAAGAGGGAGTGACACGCAAATTAATAAAAAGTGGTTTATGTGGTTGATATTAAATTGATAAAGTAAGAATAAAGTAAGAATGATTTAGAGCCACACAAACTTTACCAAATTTGGTATGTGACAATCTTAGTGAGACGGATCGATAAAGTAAAATGAGACAATCATAGCGGGACGGAGGTAGTAGGATTTTGGGTCCCGACAAATGCATCGACGAAAAATACTTTCCAAAAAAAAATCATCAATTGTTATATAATAATTTTTTTTTACGAAAAATACTTTCAATTGGAAATAGAAAAAGGCGTGTATGAGAATATTATAATAAAAAATCATCAATTGTTATATAATAGAAGTAGTTGTTGCGTATTAATTTCAACAATTAGAATATAAAAATAAAATAAAAATAAGTATCACATCACAAGGATACAGCAATTAATTGGCCACGGACTTGGAATTGGTCCACAGTCCATGCCTTGTGCCGGAATCTATATTTGACTCGATGAATCATCTAATAGAAATAAATTATTACTATCATATAGCCAATTTTGAATTTTCACGTTAATGATATCAAAATTTGGCCCAAAATATATCTGTATTATATAGAAATATTTACTCCCTCCATCCCGGTCATTTTTCCCAACTTTACTTTTTGGACCGTCCTAATTTGTGATTCACATTCATTCATTTTTTCTTACACAATTACAATCATACATTTCTACTTTATTCTCACGATCTAAATTTGCGAGTCAAGTCAAAACCGAAAGAAATGATCGGACGGAGGGAGTATATTTTAAAATGATATTAAAATGTTTTTGTTGGATATACAATCATACAAGTTTAACATTTATAAATTTTGCATAAATATACTTCGTACTATTTAAAATGATTGATCAAAATCATTGTTCTAAAATTCACTAGCCTCTAGTAGGCGGTTAAGAAGTAAGTGTGTAACATCTAAACACCGACTAAATCGATTAGTCCTCTACAATTAGAGCCGCTTAGCAGTCAACGATAACCAACTAATTAGTGATGAAAGTAGTATGTACATTCATCAGATTTTAAATTCTTTCTAATTTCAACGAGGGTAGCTTTTGTAAAATAAAATTAAACCCAACAAATCAATTATGAACAAGGTACCAGACGCGTTGAATTTTCACTCGCACTTAGGGCTTGGATTCAGTTCGGGAACCGAACCGAAATGGGAAGAATCCGAACCGAACAAACCTTTCGATTTCTCAAATTCTATAAGTCGAAACCAAACCGAACTTGATCGGGACCCAATTTTTCGGAAACCAAAATTTCGGTCCAGTTTTTCTCTTTTTGTAAAAAACCGAATGAACTTTTAATATTTGTATAATCAGTAGCTAGTACCCACCCTGAAGCCTTACTAGAGACTTATTATTCAGTTGCTGAACAAAGGGGCGATTATATAGGCTCATAGGAAGAAAAACAAAAGGGAGGAGCTGGGATTGAAGGAAAGCAAAAACTTCAGAGCATTCACAGTCCCTGGGGGGATTCGAACTCAGTTGAGACGGAAGGGAAGCGTGACCAGTGACCGCTTAGCTACTTCGAAATGTTAATACATAAGGACTCTAAACGTAATAAATACATTAAACCTATACAAATTAAACAAAATAATTAAAATTTATTATTTAATTAAAAAATTGGTTCGGTTCGGTTTGAACCGATTTTCAATCTCAAAGAAACGGTTCCGAACCGATTTTTATTCGGGTCCCAACTTTCGGGTCCCATTAAAGTCGGTTCGGTTTCGGGCCGGTTTTTTATCACTCGGTTCAGTTTTTTTCGGTTCGGTTTTCGGTTTTTCGGTTAAAAATTCCAGCCCTACTCGCACTTACCCATCAGCTTCCAATAATTGGGAATTGATTTAGGGAGTTCTTGCAAATGTTTTTGCTTTAAAAAAATATTTTTTGAAGTGATTTTGGAAAAAATGGTTAATAGTAAAAATTGATAGTGTTTGAGAAAAATGTGATTTTTTATAGAAAAAAGTGATTTTGAAAAGTAAAAGTTGCTTGATAGTGTTTGGCAAAATATGTGTTTTTTGTGTAATAGAAAAAGTAAAATGTAGTTTTCAGCCAAAAGTCGAGAAACGTTTATCACTTGAAAACACTAATTTTAACATATTTTAAGTCAAAAGTAGAGAAACGATTTTTTTAAAAAACTCAACAAATCAAAGCAATTCAAATTGAACCATATTGAAGTACACGTTATTATTATACTCCCTCCGTCCCTTAAGGTTTGTCACACTTTCCCGAAATGGATGTCCCAAAATATTTGTCTTACTTTTTCAACTTCCTTATTTGGTAAACAAATCTATACCAATCAGTGCAAAACAGTGTCAAACAGTGTAAAACAGTGTCAAACAGTGCCAAACAGTGTCGCTACAGTGTAAAGTCAAATTCATCTCCTTAAAACTTGTGAAGTCAAACTATGACAAACTTTGAGCCGTTTTAGGGATGGAGGGAGTATAATATATTAGAACGTACTATCACCCGTTCTGTTTTAATCGCAACATATTGAATTGTACACTATTTTTTTACGCTATTATTTTGACTACATTTTACGCTATTATTTTATGAAAATTATTTTTTTTTTTTTAAAATGTTCAATTCATCTCATTACAAATTTTCAAAATCTGATTTTTAATATTTTTTACTAATAGAGATTAAGATATAATTACGGTCAAAGACGTGTGTTGGCAAATGTGAAATGTTGACCGTTACACCAAAAAAAGAAAGTACTCCCTCCGTCCCAAAAACAACTTCATAGTTTGACTAGCACACACATTTAGGTAGATTAAAGTTTTGGTTTGACTTTCCCAAAATTTTACTATTTTGACACTGTTTAGCACTGTTTGGCACTGCTTAGTATTGTTTGACACTGTTTTGATGTTGATAATTTGCCAAATAAGGAAGTGGGAAGAAGTGTGAAGTTAATTTTGGAACATCCATTTAAGGGAAGTGGGAAGTTGTTTTTGGGACGGAGGGAGTATGTAATTACATCTACGATTGATTTGGAGCGGACTAAATTTAAGTAGGTCAAACTGGTTATAACAATTACGGAGTAAAATTCAATTAAGAGCATTGTTAGTTTGCCATAATATTAATACTCCCTCCGTCCCACAATGAACTTCACACTTTGACCTACACACATATTAAAGAAATAAACTTATCATGGGGTAAATTTTACTGTTTTGACACTGTTTCGACACTGTTTGGCACTGTTTTGCATTGTTTTGACACTGTTTTGATGTAGAATAACTTGTCATTTAAGGAAATGGAAATTTGTTTCTGGGACATCCAAAAAAGGAAAGTGAGAAGTTTATTGCGGGACGGAGGGAGTAATAATATATTGTTAGGACTATTATTATTATTATTCAACTATTCAATTATTTAATACTACTTAAGGGTGTTGATATTCTTTTTACCAAAAAAACACAATCAAAATACTCTCTTAGAAGAAATTGCTGCAACTAGATGTCAACAGTATAACGTTTAGTCGTCCTAATAAAGTTTTAAAATATTGAATCACTCATACTTTGAAAAAACAATACTCACTAATACGTCCCACAAAATTTGATCAAATAGACATTTCTTTGATCAATGATAATAAACTTTAAGCGATAACATTAATCAATACATTTGTGTGCAATTTAAAGCTTTTAATTATTTTTAACAAAGAACATTTTCATATATCTTTTATATTTCAAATATTTTGTATTGAAAATACAGTTGATCGAATTTGACCTGTTTTTTTTCAAAAGTATTACTAAACTAAAACTTATTTACACAAACATGACTAATAGTTACCATAATGCAATTTCATTGTTAATTAGGTTTAAAAATTGAACATAACTAGCATATTTCATTACTATTCTAATCACTATTCATAGTTTTGTAAACAACCTTTAAATTAGTCATATATTTGTAATTATTTCGTTATTAATTATGGGTGTGGCCAATCATCTATCTTTTGACATTTTTGCTTAAAAGTAAATCTTACTCTGTATTAATCAATCAATCAAGTATATTTTCACTCTAAGTAACATATCAAATCAAACAAAACTCAAACATTGCACACCTGATAGATCGAACCACATCAAATTACACTAGATGAGATCAAATGTAAATCCATCACACCAGATCAGATCAGCCTTGTGTAACATCAAAACACGCTTGTATAAAACTTATTAAAACAGATTAAACCGAATTTAAGTAGAACAAAGTAGATAAAATGAGATCAAAACACTTCCATTCAAAAGGGTTAATTCTCAATTTCTCATGCACTACTTATAGAGCTTGTTTATATACTGATCTATGTCACGTTAATGACAGGTATTTTATTTGGGTATGTATCAAACTTCGCATTCTCAAAGCTTCCACCTCACTTGAGTTGGCGATTCATGCTCGGCGTGGGGGCAATTCCGTCAGTCTTCTTAGGCCTCAGCGTTCTTGCCATGCCTGAATCACCGCGGTGGCTAGTCATGCAGGGCCGACTAGGCGATGCACGCCGAGTTCTTCTACGGACATCCGATTCCGTAGAAGAGGCCCAACTAAGGCTAGCCGACATCAAAGAAGCCGCTGGCATACCGGAAGACGTCACCGACGACGTAGTTTCGGTGACCAAACGGCCGAAGGGCGGCGCCGGGGTGGGGGTGTGGAGGGAACTTTTCGTCTCTCCGACGCCGGCCATCCGTCACATTGTGCTCACCGGCGTATGTATTCACTTCTTCCAGCAAGCTACCGGAATAGACACGGTGGTTTTGTACAGTCCGAGGATTTTTGAGAAGGCAGGGATAAAGTCGGAAAACAAGAAATTGTTGTGCACTGTGGCGGTTGGGTTCGTGAAAACGTTGTTCATATTGATAGCCACGTTCACACTAGACAGGTAAAGCCACAAAATCATAAACATCTCACACAAAAGACGTTATCTTTGATCTAAATGAAACTTTTATATTGAGGACTTATATGGTAAAGAAAGTAAAAGAAATACTCCCTCTGTCCCTTATGACTTTGTCAACTTTCCTTTTTTGGATGTCCCACTAACTTTGGCACTTTCCTTTTTAAGTAAAAAATTTGTGGTTGCAGTTAATTTTTTCTTCTCTGCACAAACCTCAATCACACAGTTTTTACTTTATTAATCTCCGTACCGGTCAAACTTGGCAAAGTTATTAGGGACGGAGGGAGTAAATTATTAATGAATGAGATCCAACATATACGTAGTACTACCTCCGTTCCTATTTAATCTTCCAACCCACTTTGACACACAATTTAAGAAAAGTGGGTATTGTGTGGTGGATAGTTGTGCAGAGGAGAGAGAAATGTGTAAGAATTATTGTGAACCACAAATTCTTTACCAAAAAAGAAAGTGGAAATTTAATTGGAACGGATGAAAAAGGAAAGTTGGAAATTTATTTAGGAACGGAGGGAGTACTAGTTAGCGAAATCAAAAGTTGCATATTTGAGGAAACAAAATTAAAGGATAAGGTTGACACACCGAAAAGTAATTACCAAACAGGCTCTATATATATTGTCATGTAGAAATCTTTTATGTATATTTGAAACTTGATTAATGTGGAATGACATAAAAACAGGTTCGGAAGGCGGAAGTTGTTGCTGACGAGCATAGGTGGCATGGTGGCGTCAATGTTGTTGCTGGCCATCGGCTTGACCGTGGTTGACCACTCGGACCACAAGGTGCCATGGGCACTAGTACTGAGCATTGTGATGGTGTTGGTCTACGTGGCATTCTTTTCAATCGGAATGGGTCCCATCACGTGGGTCTACAGCTCCGAGATATTCCCGCTAAGGCTTAGAGCCACCGGTTGCAGCGTGGGAGTGGCGGTGAACCGCGTGACGAGCGGAGTGATATCGATGACGTTCATTTCACTATATCAAGCCATCACAATCGGCGGCGCGTTCTTCATGTACAGTGGATTCGCCATCGTCTCCTTCGTCTTTTTCTACACATTGATGCCAGAAACAAGAGGGAAAACACTGGAAGAAATGGAGTCGTTGTTTGGGGGTTTCTTCAAGTGGAGGTCCACTCTCAGAGAGGTGAATAAAGCTAACTCCGCCGCCGCTGCCACAAAGAAGGCTAGTAATCCGCCGCCGCAGCTTCAATTGTCAAGCGACACTGCCGAGTCACCGCGCCGGCCGTGAGTAGCATATATATATATATATATATATATATATATATATATATATATATATATATATATATATATTGTGAATGAATGTATGGTAGATTTTGCATCATAAATGTATTATTAGCGCAAAATCATTAAATGATTAATCCAAGTGATCATCATATACGTAGTTTTCTACGTTTTGGATCAAATTACGCAAAGCATTATCCGGCCCCTGCAGTGGGATAACCGGATTCGTCCTCGTGACCAATTTTTATTTTTGTGTGCAATATATGGGATTTGATGGTTTTGTATAACCCGTATGCAAGAACGTAACATGCATATATACGACGAATTAGGTTAGGGTTAGTGTCAAAATAGGACTAAAAACTGATCACTTTGCACAAATAGGATCAAAAAGTAAACTATGTTACGATAAAACTAATTATGTGTGTTGGACAAATATACCCTTGTTGCTATTGAAATGTTTTAATTCATAACAAAATAATCAAAAATAATACAATTCCTAAAAATACTAAAAAAATAATAAAAATATTTAGATAATAATAATTAATGTCATGAATACCATTTTTTCAAAGAGTTTTTTACCTAAGTAGGACTAATTGTACTTTAATGTGCACAAATAAGACCTCTTCCGTAAGTCAAGTTTCATAGGATTAAAAAGCTGATGATCTTCCAATTTTAGCCTCGATATTAAGTAATTGACTTTTCAGCCTAAGGAAGTTTTCGAAAAAACCGGCCAGAATCCTGCGAGGAGAGAGGGCGAAAATATAGGGAAACGCGGCGCGGCAATTATTATGGACTGTTTTTCCGGTGCAAGGCTCGGGAATCTAGTTTCAAAGGCAACCACCCCATTTACTCAACCCCGTTCTGCCATCCGGAAAGTGCAACAGGGATTCCGAGAACTGAGCGTAAAAAGGTGGAAGACGAAAACAAGGGAAGCAGTTGAAGCGCGACGATGGCCGGTGACGAGGTTCCGAAACAGAGGCGAGGACAGCAGACAGAGCGGGAGAAAGCAGATCTGGTATGTTGTACTTATGAACATCAATTTATGTGTTTACGGCCGATATTGTGTTGCAATTGTATGTGTTAGTAAATAATGGAAAAGAATGACATATGTGCATGACTTTGGAACGAAAATCTGGAAGATTTTGTTCCCAGTGTTCAATACAAATTGTGAAATTTGTTATGATGATAAAATGCATGCAATAGAATGTCATATTTACATATAAGTGGTATGAATATTTTAAATGGCATAAATGGCAGAAACTATGTTGTTCAAATAGATGACAATTCGTTGATGAATGCAATTTGAAAAATTGATAGGATGTATAGACTTTTAAAAGCACTGTAAGAGGTGGTTGTAGTTGATTTTGCCAAAATTTAGGCAAATGAACTAGAGGAAAATGGCAGAATCTGAATAGGTTTAAAACGTTGATGGCAGATATGCCGTAAAATGAAAGTTGTACAATGAAAATGAAATTTGTACAATGAACATATGTAAAACGGAATAAATGTCAGGTACTTGTGTTTTGGAAGAAATGACAAAAGTAGTGGCTTAAAACGAAAGTTGAACAATGAAAACATGGAAGAAATAGTAGTATGGAGAAAAAATTGGAAGTCAGTTTTTTGGAAGAAATGACAATTTAGTGCTAAGCTATTGAAATATAAGTGGCAGAAAGTGAATGTGAACTTTTTAAAATTTGAAAGCTGCAAAGCAATGACAATGAATATCTGGCATGTATCTTGGATATTTGAACATGATAGTTGTATTATTGATTACACTACTGTAAAAGAAATGTGTGAAATGAATGGTTTTGTGTTTATTTAGGTGATACAGAGAAAATTTGGAAAGAAACAACTGCAAAATGTAGAAAGCATGAGAATTAATTGCTATTGCAGTTTGAGTGAGGTAGTGAAGAGGATAAAACAACAACTAAAAGCTGAAGAATTGGTTGAATTCAGGAGAAGTGTATTTGGTTGGGTATTGGATGTGGAAGAGATGCGCACAATTAGTGGGCAACTTCAACTTGGATTTCTGTGCAACTACGTAAAAAAGGTGAATGGGAGGAAAGAGCTAAATGCCATTCATTTTCATATTGAAAACAGCTTAGTTACTTTCAGAAAAAATGATATGTGCATGGCTTTGGGTCTTAAATTTGGAGGAGTTAAACCACATGTAGAAGAGAATTTTAGGGGGGCGTTGTGGAAAAAGTATTTTGGAAACACATCCGGGGTGAGAAGAAGTGATTGTCAAAATGCTTTAATGAATTACAATAGTGGAGACCCTGACAATGACCAAAACGATGGTGTGAAGCTTGCATTGCTCCATGTGCTGTCACATGGTTTGTTTGGGAACCACACATCAAGAGAATTACCAGCAATGTATGTGAATTTGGTTGAAAACTTGGATGATTTCAATGAATATCCATGGGGGGATGATGTTTGGGCTGAGTTGGTGGATAACATGAGGACCAATGCCAAGAGTTTAAAGAAATGTAAAGGGACACGCGTCACACTGACAGGATGTTTAATTGCCATACAAGTTTGGGCATTTGAAACCTTCACAGGACTGGCCAAGGCAGATATATGCAGTGTGATTGAAGGGCGAGAGACTCGAATACCAAGGGCTGTGAAGTGGGAATTTGTAAAAAAGCCATCACTGGAAGTTTTGAGCAAAATCATTTTCAAGAATGAAAAGGTAATAAATAGCATTTAGTTGTTAATTACTATGTAGGAATCTGAAAAGATGGTGTTTGCATTTTAAATATAAATTGTTAATTTTATTTATTTTGCAGTTTGAGTGGAAAAGGATGGAGCCTACAAATGTGGAAGGTGAACATTTTCCAATTTTACTGTCCAAGCAAATGAGAAGTTCTGTGAGGAGGAGTAATCCTGGAATTGCTGGGGGATATAGGGTTGATGGGGTGAAGGTAAAGACCAAAAGTGCAGCCACGGTTTTGGAAAAGGCCAAAAACAAAAAGTTGGAAGAAAAAATGGAAATTGAGGATGATGGGGAGGAGGACGAAGAGGAGGATGATAGTGGTGGTAAGGTGGGTTTTGGAACTGCCAGAAAGACAGATTTGACACTGAGAAATGTTAGGAAACTTAGCAAGGAGAATGCCAAGATTATGGCAGAATTAAAAAAAGTTAGGAAAACCCAGAAGAGGCAGGAGTTGTTGCTCAAGCAGTTGTTGGAGGCCATGAACAGGAAGGATGAGGCGGAGATTGAAGGGGTTAGCAAGGAAAGCAAAGAAAAAAACAACACAGAAGAAGGTGATGAAGAAGCTCAAGAAGATCAAGATAATGAAGGAGAGCAAAACGCAGGTGACAGAGATGATGGTGCAGTGATCAGTAGCATGCCAAATTATAACATATTTGGTCCACAAACACAAGAAAAATTCCAGGAAGCAGAAGTAGAAGATGGAAGTGAAGAAAATGTGTTAGAGAGGACTAAAGAAGTAGAAAAGGGCAAATGCGGGGAGAAGGAAAAAGCTGGGGGGAGCAACAAACAAAATCAGGAAGAAGGCATGAGGGATGTGGAAGAAAGTGTTGGCAGAGGGGTGAACAATGAGGAGGAAAATTGGGAAGATTTGAACACCCAATTTGTGAATGAGTTAATAACAAGCGTGGATGAAGTGGAGAAACTTGTATTAGGCGAAAAAACTTCGGAGGAGCATAGTCGAAAGGGAGAGGTTCATAACAACTCACTTTGACTTGTATTTTGATATATATATATCTGTTAATATTAATTTATAATGGCAGAAAGTTGCAAGTGTGCGTGTCCAGGAGATAGCGCAAGGAAGTGGAAGTACAAGTGTTCATGCAGACGTGAACATAGAAAATAGTGTAAGTGGTGTTGTATATAATTATGAATATAAATGCATAAAAGTGGAATATTAGTTCAACTATATTGTTTTTTTGTTGATGTGCAGGTTGAGATCACATGTGGTGCCGATACAAGACCTAAACGAAATGCAAGATCTCCAGACAGATATACACCAGCAGAGAATGTGGTGGCTGCAAAGAGGAGACGGAAAGAAAGAGCGAGAAAAAGTGAGGAGGACCACTTTTTACCGGCTAGAAAGTATGGACCATTTGCAGAAAACCCAACTGAATCTCCACCGGAAGAAGAAGTACGGAAGTTAGAAACTTATCTTCAAGTTGGACTATTGAAGAGGGCAACAAAGGAAGCAGGTGGCAGAAGATACCGCAAAGATGAGGACAGCATGAGAGGCGTACCATTTATTCTGGATATGGCAAAGATAGAATCAAAAACATGGTTGTACAAGTTGTTTGTCAATCCAGAGTGGCTGGACGAGATGGTAATGTTTCTGACTGATCACTTTTAGAGATATAAAAGCTTAAGTAAAATGTGGATCATAAATCATGACAATGTATGTTTTTATATAAAAAAATTCAGAAATATTCTGTGATTAATTCTTTGATTTTGCATTTGTTCTTAGCACATTTATGCAGGGATGTACTACTTGAATGTCAAGCAAGTACAGTACATGGTGCAACACCCTTACAGCGCTAGTGGGCCTTACTTTCTACAAATGCTGAGACGTCAAAATGAGAAGATAGAAAAAGGTGAGACGACGATTACAGAAGCAGCGAACATTGCAGTGATTGAAGACGAAATTCAAGGCAGTGCTTCACCATTCTCTAGGAGTTGGGCAGAATCTGAGTTCGTATACCTCCCGCTTAATAATAGCAACCACTGGGTGTTACTTGTTTTGGAAGTTAAAAAAAGAAAGATACGAGTTTACAACTCCAAAACCAGACGGGCTGATAGTTTAAGAGACATTAGACCGTTTGTAGAGAGCATACAGTGGTTGCTGCCAAAAGTCATGGACGTGCATGGTGTTTATGATGAAATTGGGTATGAGCGTATGGGTAACGAAGTGTTAGAGTTGGAGCCTGCCGAGGATTGCCCACAGCAAGAAGACGGGTAAAATATGTCGTTTATAGTATTTTTCAGAAACATAATATTAATATGTAATACAAAATGATTTATTTCGTATTGGTGTGTCATGATTGTAGGGGAAACTGTGGCATGTACGTATTGAAGATTGCCGAATTTTTGATGATGGGGCTAGATATAAAAGAGATCAAGTCAAAGGACATTGCCATGTATAGGCAAAAGATGGCCATAGAGTTAGTGTTGTATAACAACAAGAGGATGGAGGAACGCAAAAAACAGAAGCAGGGACCGAGGAGTTGCATTTGAAACTTGAATGAAATGTTGTTTTTTGAATATTTACGTTTAATGTTTGATGTTTGACTTACAATGTTGACTGAGCGTTTTGCATAATGGTGTAGTATGTCCTTGACTCCTTTGAGTAATGTTTTGGATTTAAATTTTATGTGTAGTTGTTTGCTATTAAATCAAAGTGGAAAAGTTTCTATAACAGACGTATGCAAACGTAGTATTTCTGCCATTAAATGTAATTTAAAATGCCTTTTTTATGGCAATTTTGCACTGTTTACGCTTATATTTTTAAATGGCAGATTGTTAGACTACAATGTGGAATGGCTCATTGATATGTTGAGATCAACATTGTACAATGTATAATTTATTATTGGCATTAAAGAAATTGTGAACATTACATTTGTTACACATATCAATTGTGTTTATTTGACGTGTAATGCCAAAAGTATGGCATATATGGATGAAGCATGATAACTGTCAACATTGATTTGTAGAAATTTAATTAAAAAAAGGTACAATTTGTGGGTTGTATGGTACTAATAAAGATGGCAAAATGACATGAACATTGGTGGAATTAAAAATATGATATCCATCAACAATAGTGCAAAACACGTAATCGTATAAAGAAAATTAAAACATCATGTAATCGAAATACATGAATTCAGGAAACACTGGCTCTAAATTGTGCATAAATTTATGTAATCAACATGGACATTTCAAAACAATGACACCATAATTAAAAATTCTTAAAGAAGAAAACTTAAAAAATACATCAGGCATTTGATATGGGCAGTGGATTGCGGCAGGTTTTTTTGTTGTGACCAATAGCATGACAGCGGGAACATTTTTGACGCTTCGTACGATGATGTTCACCAATTGATGGGATTCTTGACTTTTTGGGACGACCGGGTGGTCTTTTTTGACACGAAGGCGGCTTGCAACGAACATTCAAAACATCAGGAGGAACTGACCAAGACTCCACATCGCAAATAGGGTGCATAACGCCACTCCAGGTGGACAACCAGTAATCTCGAGTGTAATATTTGGATATATAATCATAGCATGACATCGCTGGCCTGGTACCAATAGCAGCAACAGCATGCACACAAACAAAATGAGACAATTGAAAGACCCCGCAACTGCATGTCTTAGAATTCAGATCAACTACAAATGACCGACAATGTCTATCAACCACCTCAAATTCTGTATAAGATGCTGGCTTCACCTGATGTTGTTTTTAAAAAAGATAAAAAATAATAAAGTTAAATGATGGATATTCACAGAAATGATTTGGGGGATAAGGTCTGGGAAACATGGAAGAGGGGTTTCGATCGTAACCAAATGCCATATTTTTGGAATTGCTGCCAGGTATAAAATACAATAACTGAACAAATAATTAAAATCAAATGCATATTTCTTGCGAATAAATGTATACGAATTTAGCACACATTGAGTTACCTGCATCCTGCAAGCTTGTCCTTGAAGGGCCACCAAATGCTTTTCACGTGTGGGAGCAAAAAATGTACGTGTTTTCTCAGCATTTTCCTTCCTTTCTGAAAACCATTGCTGCATTCTTTCCCTCAAGAAATCCACGAGTTTTGATATAGAATACTCTCTTGCAGACACATTGACGTTGTTCATAGATTCAGCACAGTTGGAAGTCATGATATCGTATCTCCTAGGACCAGACATGCACTTGGCCCACTTTTGAAAACCAATCTTCTCAAGCCAAGGTCGTATACGAATATCCTCATAATCCAACAAGGACATATATTCCTCAAATTCCTTGAATGTCGATGCCATGTAGGCAGCCTTGAATTTCCAACCCAAATTCTTACCCGCGCCCCTAAACTTTGGAACCATGTTACGCCGAAGGTGCTCCACACAATATCCATGAAGAGCATGAGGGAAAATATCCTTAACAGCGCTTAGAATACCTTCATGTCTGTCAGATACAATAAACATATCAGGTCGGAAGGTTATACTGTCACGCACTTGGCTCAAAAACCAATTCCACGAAGCTTTGGATTCGGAATCACATATTCCAAAAGCTAAAGGTACAATATGACCGTTAGCGTCTTGGCCACAAGCTGTTAGTAGTGTCCCCTTATAGTATGCCTTCATAAATGAGCCATCAACAATTAAAACAGGTCTGCAAAAATCCCATGCCTGCCGCCAAGGTGAAAGACACATAAAAAAGTAACGAAACTCATCCTCATCACCTATTATTAAAGAAATTGCAGAATTTGGATTTCTCTTTTCTAGCATATAAGCCATGGAAGGTAGTTTCTGATAAGACTCAAAATCAGATCCAAATTGCCTTTGCATGGCTAGCTTTTGAGCTTTCCATGCTTTCTTATATGACATGGAAATGCCATGGGCCACACTCATGTCTTCCCGGATTAGATTTGGTGCATACGGTTTCCTTGATGCATCCAAAAAATTATGGGAGATTAGCTCAGCAACGGTGCGATATGTTGCTTGTCTCTGTTTGCCTTGTCTAAAGTCAATGGAGCAGGTATGTGTGGAGTCGAACCTGCACATGTAAAAATATATGTCATGATGGAAGAAATGCCACATATGTGGAATATTAATACACAAGAATACAGGTAAAAAAATATAACATGGGAACATACCTTCTAATCTGAAACATTTGAACACCACGTAACTTGACACCCCTCACAGCCCATTTACAATTGTCATCACAACATACAACATGCAATACCCCTTTCTTTGATGTAAGTGTTCGGTATTGAAAGCCATTATCAATCGCATACAACTTCAAATGGTGACTGAGGTCAAACTTAGAATTATATATGGCATACTTCATGATCTGTGTTGGATGATAGTGGGTGATAACTTCAACATTATGATGGAAGGAAAATGACTCAGTAGAATGTAAATGAGTAGGAGGTGACTGACAAGGGCTGACAGAAGACAATGGACTATGACATACATCATCATTGATTGTAATGGGACTAGGAGATTTTTGTGTGAGATTGGATTCATGTTGAACAATAGTGTAAGAGTTGGAATCAGATTTTTGTCCACTAATGTTATCATGTTCCTCAGAAGAAACATGAGATGGTGAAGCATAAATAGGTACAGTATTTTCCGTAGCAGGCACCGGGCAAGGAGTATAACCATGAATTGAGAATTCCACACATAATGGGTACTTGCTGAAATCAGTCTGAAGAACCTTAAGGTTGAGGAAAAAACGGAAACTGGCTTCATCATTGATATACACAGGTGGAGGGCAACCATCAACCATGTAAGATAACTTCAACTCACTTGTTGCATTGTAAGAATCACTTAATATGGAAGAAAGTTGCTCTATAAAGTCTTTGTATGTAGATGAGTAAAGAACTTGAATAGCAAAGGTGAGGTTACTGTTGAAGTTATAGTCATTGGTCCAACTTCCACCCAACTTCAGCATAATCATAACAATGGAATCCATATGGATAACTAGATAAGTAAATATAAATTGTTCAAATAAAATGAAAAACAATATGACAACTATGAATACACATTATGCCAAGATTAAGTCATTAAATTCAAACTGAAAACACCAAACACAGAATCCCAGCCAAAACTCAAATGATGACCATGAGTACACATTATGCCAAAATTATGTCATTAAATTGGAAATGAAAACACCAAACACAAAATCCCACATGCAAGTCAAATGATGATTACGAGAACACATTATGCCAAGATTATGTCATTAAAATTCCAACTGAAAACACCAAACACAGAATCCCAGGCGCAAGTCAAACGATGACCATGAGTACAACCATGAAGGATAAGCGCATATATGTATACTGAATGACATATTTTCCAGATTTCAACACAGACATGGAACATGATTTTAGGTTTCGGAATGTATAACAATGACAAATAAAAACAAATACATTAAATAATCCTTCAATTGTCGCTACCTTCTTGTACAACATCCGATAATACAGAAGATGAATAATGAAGAAACTGATAATATTAGCAGTTAGATAATTACCAGAACAATTGGAACACTTCACATCAACATATGCGTTTGGTCGTAGCTTATGATAGACAGAGCAAAGATGAGATATGGCATAAGCGATTGGTTGATACAGAAAGACACGGTGAAAATGGAAGGAGATAATACAGGGGAGCGTAAAACAAGGGGAAAGCATCGTAACTGAAAGTCTGAAAATCAGGAAGCGAACGAAATGGGGAAAAAACGGTTACGCGGATGGGGTATGTTACGCGAAGGGCAAATCTGTACGGGTAAAAAACGTTAGTTTTAGTATAGGATTAATAAAGTCCTACTTAGGGAAATAAACATACTTAGTCCTAATTAAGAACTTTAAAAGTTTTTTAGTCCTACATGGGACAATTTCTTTTTTTCAAACAGTGTCATCTTTTTCATATTTTATCAAATAGTGCCTCATCTGTCATATAGTGCCATTTTGTATGGCAATAAGTGCATGTTCATTAAGATGACCCTTATATAGCAAAATGACAATTGAAAGTATTTTTTTGAGACTTAAGATCTGAGTTGGTGGAATAAAAAATGCTGGTAATGTCCAAATTAAAGAGGCAAAGGTGGCATCGAACAAGGTGGTTGTGACACAGAATCCGGCGGTGGTGACATCGGACGAGCTGGCCATGGCAACGCCGGACACGGTGGTTGTGATGTCGCACGAGCCACCGGTGGCGATGCCGGACATGACGGTGACAATGGAGATAGTTGGCAACCGGCGACAGCGATGGAGATAGTCGACAACCGGCGGTGGAGGGCATCTGAAAGAAGCGGCGGTACCGCTAACGATGGTGGCACCTGATGGCGGCATTGGAGATTACTTGTGATCGATGGCGGCGGCACCTGGTTTTGGCTGGGTAGATGCCCATGGCAGTGGTGAAAGACGTGATCTTCCTGAAGCACTGTGTCGTACCTACGTTGCGCAGATGCTAGATTTTTATAAGTATATTATTGTATTCGGTATTTCTTACTTCCTCCGTCTCATTTTAGTTAGACAGACTTGACTTTTCAAGTCAATGCTGACGTCTAACTTTGACCGATTATATGTTTATATAGAAAAAATATTAATAATATGCAAATGATATGAAAATGTTCTTTGTTAAAAATACTATCATAAAAGTATAAAATTATTAAATTTTGCATAAATATATTAGTTTAAATAATTGGTCAAAGTTTACCACCTTTGAGTGGAAAAGTCAAAGATGACTAAGTGAATTGGGACGTAGGTAGTATTATTAATAGATTGGGCCTCATTAAGGGCAATTCTGTCTAGTCATGATTTTTTACTCTTATGAAAGTACACGGATCATTAGACTTCTATATTTGCACTTATTGGAAGAATTATCTCCATAACCCATAACAACTAATGTTTTAATCTTATTTGAAGAATTATCTCCATAACAATTAACAAGCATAGTGCAAATGGGTGTAATTAACTTCAATTCATGATTAGCTCAAATGAGCATTGACATTTAAGCAACTAATCAATGAAAGAGTAGTTGGGCGAAGGAAAGCTCGACACTTGAAGAACCCGTTAGGTGACCTTGTTTTTCGGCTTATCGGTTTTACCAGTCAATTTTTTTACCAAACACGTAGTCTTTGATTTCGCGCGCTGAATTGGTAATAATAAGAAAAAGTGAGGATGTAGTTACTTTCTGACTGTATTAGCTGAAGTTACTGTATAAGATCATTTTGCAATTTTTAATATAATTTTTTCTTTAATTTAGTAATTAAATATATTTAAAACATAATTTTATCATAAATCAGCAGAATCAGCAAATTCAAACACTTTGGGGGTGTTTGGCAATTAGCCGTTGGTTGTTGGCTCATTACGTCAGTTGATGACTATTGGCGGATTATGTTAGCTATTTTAATTAGTAGATAGTATTAGCGGTTTATAAAATGATGTTTGGTTAATTGACTACTTACAATAAGTTGATAACTTGTTAAATGACTTTTAAGGACATTAATTAAATATTTGTTCGTTACCTATTTTTATATACGTATCATACACATTTTGGTAATGTTATCATTAGCACAACTACTTGAGCCATTAAAAAAATACAGAGTATTTTTTAACACACACAAGTAACAATTCTTTTAAGGATTTCTTCTTTTAAACATTATTCTTCTTGTACCATGGTCATTCTTTCTTTGCCATGCCGGCCTTTCAAGATTTCAAAATTATACCTCAAAAGCCCATGGCTGTCACCTGTGCAAGAAGTAGCGACACTCCCCATCCAAACCGTGTCACAGAGTATTCAAGACTTTTGTGGTGTTCCCATGGATGAAGCGTTGATGTGAATGGATTCACTAATGAAAGTTGATGTGAAGAAGAAAACCTTGGATAAGCAAAACCGGACACCTTGATGCGCTACTCGACCCCTGTTGTGTTTCTTTTGGCCGGAAAATGTTAAGGAAACAATTCACGAGTACGAAGAGAGAAGGGAACGAACATGGTAGAATAGGAATGTGTGGTAGATATGTGAACGGCCAACACCTAAACGCCATATTTATCAGCATTTTGATTTTTGGTTGTTTGGAATAAAAAGCCAAATGGAAAATCCATTAACGAAACACCCTAAGCTGATTGGTTTGGTCAAAAAGCCAAAAATGGATGATAGACTCTTTACCAAACACCCCCTTTAACGTAACTAGAATTTCATAAGTTTCAACAGAATGATGCACTGCAGTTGATTTTGGTGTTATCAAACGGGCTCGAAATGTAATAAAAGTGGAAATGGGTAGATCGATTATACAATCAACCATATTAAAGTAAAAAAATGAAGATGTGAAGCATTAGCAAACAGATTAGAGAGGTGATATTGTAAAGTTGAGCCTTTTTTATTGAGGGAGGTTTTTAGTTTTTATGCATTAAATCCTAACGGATTAGAAAAGTGATGTAAAATTAATTGCGGCCGTGAAAACTAGAAGTAGAATTGGATTTGAAACACGTGTGTATATATAATAATCCTTCCAAATTATTTTGCAAAGTCAACATTTTTTGGTCAATCAATAAAAAAATTCAATGCTCCCTATCGATAATTAATTCTCTTTTTAATAATTAAAATTTATATATTCAGAAACTATATTAAAATCTCTTCAGAGTTGTAAACTCCAAATTAGAATATTATTAAAAATTGACATCCTAATTAATTAATCAAATAAAATGAAACTGTTTGACTAAGAAAAGTCAAATTTGAAAATCAATTCGGGACCGAGGTAGTATACGGAGTTAGTTTGACAAACTAAATTGTGGTGTTGTGGATAAAATCAGAAAAAGATTTAGGGAAAACGTGCAAATAAGCCCTCGAATTAACTGAAAAAGTGCAAATCACCTCTTTTATAGGTGACTCTGTCCAGCCGTCTCCATTTGGGGAGGTTCCCGTTGGAATTTTTTTTTGAATATCTTGTGGATTAAGTGTAGTTTACTCAAACCAAATTTCAGCTAAAAATTCAACCAGGAAGGCAGTCAAATGATTTTCTGAAATATATTGCGCTGTTTAACTGCGCAGTTATCTTTAAACAATTATTTGACTGTCTTTCCGATTGCATTTTTCAAGTCTAAAATTTTCAAATATGGGTACTTTAGCTATTTTCAAGTCTAAATTTTAAAAGTTATCACGATTATGAGGTTTTGGTACTATTGTTATTTTTATTATTTATGAACAGTTAGATTTATTTATATTGTTAATGTTTTTTTTGCTAATTACCCTCTAGTTTTATTATTGATGTGTGATTGTACCCATATTTGTGTATCAATGCAACATATTGGCGTATATACATGCATATCCTTATTATTTGTTCGACATAGATGATCATAGTTATGTAGGAATTGAAAAGTGAGCAAGATTTTATAAACTAAAAAACATAATAATAACAAACAAAATAAAAAAATTAAACAGGCAAGGGATTAACGTACGTACGTCTCCTACGTAACAGTCAGGCACTTAAAACTAATCCATCCCCACAATTATAGCTCACCTCCTTTTTACTCAGTCTTTTGTTACCATATTTACACTCACTCAATTTTATCAAACAGTAAAAAATAACAGACTTTGTACAAATGGAGCACAAACACAACAAACAACATACTCTCCACATCTTCTCTTCATCACCTTAATCACTCCCTGTGAAGCATTTCATTCCTCCTAATTTCTATCAATCCCAAAACCAAAACCAAATCAAAACAAAACAAAACACAAAACCATATTATCAGCAAAAGAAAAGGTTCTCCTATATAAAGATTGAGATCAAGGAGGCATATATATACAATGCACTGAATCTTCGGTTGTGACGGTGGCGGTGATAGCGGACGTTCGATCGGGGATGACACGGAAGGGAGGGACGAGCCAGGCGTGCGCGTCGTGCAAGTACCAAAGGCGACGGTGCACTTCAGACTGCCCGCTGGCACCATATTTCCCAGCGGACCAGCCTGACATGTTCCACAACGCGCACCGCCTGTTCGGGGTAAGCAACATAACCAAACTACTAAAACAGATAGAGCCTAGCCAGAGAGGCGTGGCGATGAAGTCTATAATAGACGAAGCGAACGCGCGGGCGAAGTATCCGGTGTACGGATGCGTGGCGGAGATTCAACAGCTGATGTTCAAGATCCAGCTGGCCGAAGAAGAGCTCATGGCGGTCCACTCCCAATTGGCTTTCTATGCCCAACAGCAAAACCAGCAACACCATGATTCTAATAATTCTCTCCTGCCCTCCTTACAATTAGGAGCACCTTCAACACACATGAACAACAACGTTGTCGTTCCTCATCCTCCTCCTCCTCTTCATCCTCAGTACTGCAATGCGGTCACTGTGGGAGCGGCTATTCCTGTTTCTCATGCATCCTCTTACTCCCTTACGGGCGGTTATGCCGATTATTCGAACGAAAACTCTTGGATCCAAGAGCAGAATTATGGGAATGGGAATGGAATAAATGGACATCATCTACAATATAGCTCTTATAATAACAACAACAATAACCAGATGATGCAACAAGAACCTGAAATGGGGTTGGGGTGTGGGGCTGCACAACAGCAGCCCATCACATTACAAGTGCAGGTGGATGAAGATTATGATGAGATGATGCATCCATTTTTTGATACTATTGATGATAGACAATCATTCGTTGACTCCAAAGAACCATTTGAATCAAGGTACGTACGAAATATCTAGTACAATCTACAATCATTGTAGGATCTATGCATATACATAAAATTGACTTGAGATAATCTATTTAGCACGAAAACTCTAGAGAAAGATTACGTTTCCCATTTCGGAAACTCCCGGAAACTCTTTGGAAACTCTCCAAATAAGCGTTTTTTGAGCAAAAGTATACGTTTCCAGTTTCTCGTTTTCTCACGATTTTCCGTGCAACACAAGAGAAAATAGTGGCTTTATTAATGCACCAAACACTACTACTACCTATAACATTGTGGAAGTGTATTATTGTAAATAATGATGGGCAAACATTACCTTGAATTGATGACAGAAAAGTGATTGAATTTGGGAGAAGTAGTACATTAAAATATGAAAAAATTCCACTTTTGGTCCCATGACTATTATACCACTTCCACATTTAGTCCATTACTTTCAGATTGTCCACATTTAATCCGTGACCATTATCCTCTCACCACCCCTCGTCCTTCCGGCCAAAATTCCGGCAAATTTTGTTCACTTCTCAACCTCAGAATCAGTCATTGCATTAAATTTTGTATCAAGTTGGGTTTTTCATACCAGTCTTGCATTAAATTTGGTTTTTCATACCTAAAATCTGCATTAAATTTGCCGTAATTTTGGCCGAAAGGACGAGGGGTGGTGAGGGGATAATGGTCACGGACTAAATGAGAACAATCTGAAAGTAAGAGACTAAATGTGGAAGTGATATAATAGTCATGGGACCAAAAGTGGAATTTTTTCTTAAAATATCAAAATAAGTACATATATATGACCGAAATAAAGATGAAAAACAAGAATATGACATTTTGTACAAAATGACTAGTAACTTGTAATGACTAGGAGTATTATTTTATGACTGATCATTGGCAATAAAACTTTACTCATTTTAGAAAAAAAATCATAAAATTTGATGACCATTGAATTATCACCCGGTCATTGGCGAAGGTGATTCTTGCAATTAAGTTGCAATTACTTGTTGCGTTTCTATGGTACGAATTACTACGTACGTGACATCCTAAAGCCTGTTCCTATATATTAGAAATTTCCGATGGTTGCAAACTGCAATCCGTGAAGATCAATCATTTGGAGTGTTAATGAATTAATGATTGATGATTAATGATAAATGAAACTAAATATTCATTTGGAATTTTGAAGAATCGATGAAATCTTTATTGAATGATTGATGTACTACCTCGGTTCTTAAATATGAAGTTTTACACTATTCATATGTTCTACTTTGACTATGTTTTATTTTTTAATGTATTAATAATTTATTTTAAAAAATATATTGTTAAATTTGTTTCATTCTAAATTTTCAAAATCTGAATTTTCTAGCTTTGTTACTAAAAGAGAATTAAATATATTAATGATCAAAGTTGTGCACTGGCAAACGTGAAAAATTGACTGTTGCATTTATTTAAAAACGGGGGTAGTGTATTGTAAATGTTTTACAACCGATCGAATGATCGATCAATTCCATTTACAAACGTGAAAAATTGATTGTTGCATTTAATTAAAATGTGACTAGAGTAATAATGAAATCATAATAACTGATTTTCAATTTTTAAACTTAAGTTACCATGCAACTACATTGTAGTGACTATTAGTCAAATTTGTGTTAATAAATTTTATTTCAGTAATATTTTTGAAAAAACCTCCATGTGTTATATTTTCATTATATTTATTAAATTTTAATTTTAATTAAGTAAAGACAATGTTGCGTTTTCCACGTGTTTTATAAGGTTTTTAAATAAAGAAGATTATTTTATTTACTCCATTTTCCTAAACCTTTGTGTGGTCACTCTTACCCTAGACCTTATCACGTTTTCATTATAAGAAATTTCCCTAAAGAATACAAACAATTTAGTTTTCGTTTATATGAGCATTATCAAATTTTTCATAAATATGAATAATTATTGTCAATCTTGAGAAATACTAGTACTACGGAGTATCATATTAGGGTTATAGTGTTCTTTAGTAATGCCACAATTCCTTGATGTAATATGGTAATACCCCAACTCGGGGATCCCGGAATACAATACTCTTACTTAGGTAAAGCGTCTTGTTTGTTTTATCTTATTTCGGGAAATTTCTCGAGACAACATGTACTTATAGATATCGTCTATATCTATTGTGCAGTTCGGAATCATCTTTGAAGGATATAGCCCAATCGGTGTCCGAAAACGAACTCAAGAGCGCTGCAGCTTGTTTCACTCTAACTAGTATCAACGTATAGAATTGAATCAAGCCACAGCACATATATATATACATTCTAGCTATGTGATGGAGATTGATTGTAAGAAGAGATATATAAAAGAGTGAATGATCCAATGATCTCATTCTGGAGCTATTTTATTGCTCACTTCACGCAGAAATAAAAAGAATATGAAGTAGTTCCACTTCTACCATGTAACATGATTATTGCTTATTTTTACCTATATATTTAATTTGACATGTTCCCGGCTTGTAGTGAAAGCTGTGAGTTACGTCCATTGATTTTTTTTACAGTAGAAGTATGTCCTTTCATAATCTTTAGAGTAAAGTTGAATTAGATGCATTTGTTTGGGGAACGTATGGGAGATTGGGAGGTCATCGTTGCAAAGTTTTAATTTTAATGAAATGAATAAAAGTTAAAAGGTAAAATAGAGAATAAATAAATCTCAACCATTGTAATCTTTCATGTTTTGATTGGGAATGAAGATTTAATGATGGTTGAGATCTCTATTCTGAACAAAAAACAGTAACTTTATTAAAAAGGAACGATGGATAAAGGGCACTATAATTTTAGAACCAATCACAAATAAAGTTTTTATTGTTGGTGTTCTATATATAGGGGTAGTTCAAAAGTCTTAACGTGCAAAGTGCAAAGTTTGCACTTTTCATGTTTCTCTTTCACTTTTTCTTGCTTCTGTCTCACTTTTTCGCGGTAGCTCAAAAAAATTGGTTTATTTACAAAACTGACATATCATTTTGGCCGAATTTGGCCAAAATCAAAATGGCCAAAAAGTGCAACGCAAACAACAAAAACTTCAAGCGAAACATGAAAAAGTGAAAATTTTGTACTTTGCACAGGAAGACTACTTTTCATTAGAACTCTTCTATATATATATATATAGGGAAGAGATCAAATAAAAAGATGTTCTCCCTTACAAAGTGCGAACAATTACACTTTTTCTTCTCCGCGTTGCACTTTTGCGTGTTTCTGTTGCACTTTATCGCGATGGCAAAAAACTTCATTTTAATTACGATATTACCACCGCGTTTTTGATCAAATTTAGTTCACTTTTGGCTCATTTTGAGCCAATAGATCTCAAAATGAACGCACGAGATTAATTCTCGTTTTGCATGGGAAGACCTATATATATATATATATATATATATACACACACACACACACATATATATATACACATATACATATACATTTTGATAGAGTATATCTAGAGAGAAGTGAGAGCTAGAGAGAGAAGTGCAATAATATGCTTCAATAGAATGATTTTGTCACCCCTATAACTACTCCCAAGGGGAGTATTTATAGAGAAAATTAGGGCTGGGCTCCCAAGTCTTGGGCTTGGGAGGTCCATCTACAACTGGACCGCTACTGGGCCGGATACAAAGCCACTAATGGGCTGTACAAATGAGTAAGTGTAAAATCTGATTCTGGGAGGTCTTCTTGGCCGACGAGGGCGCGGTCGACGAGGGCACGGCCGACGAGGGCACGGCCGACGAGGGCACCCGGGTTCCTTGGACTCAGGACCATAATCCGAGTTGGCCCCTTTTCGGCCGACGGGGGCGTCTTGGCCGACGAGGGCGCCACTCTGTTGTCTTGTGCTTTCTGTTCTTCCGAGTATGTGGGTCCGGGGGCTCAGACCCATATACTCCATCAGGAGTCCCCCACTCTCTAAGCTGAGACGTAGACGAAGTGAAGGAGAGTAGATTTGGGCATCCCCGGGCCGTTAGCCGTTGCGGCGTTGGTGTTGTTTTCCTCTTTGGTGATCCTGTTCTGTGCTTTGGCCGTTACCTGTTCCTCGCTGTGGGCGGGGAGGCCGTTTGTTTCCTTGATGTGTTTTGAGGATGATGACTGTCTTGTTTCAATGTCGGCCGTTGAAGGCGCGCTTTCCCTTTCCTGGACGTTAGTGGTTGAAGTTTATGTTTGGGCCGATGAGGCCACTGCAGTTGGTCCTTGCTTCGAGGACGATGGCGTCTTTCGCTTTGGATGGCCGATGAGGGTGATTGCGCACTCCTTTTGGCTGTCGTTGATTAGCTTTCATGTTTCTGGCCGAAGAGCCCCTTGTGATTAAGTGATGGCGAAGGACGATGAGTGTCCTTGTCTCTAGTGGCTTGTTGGCCGTTCGCTAATGACGTTATGGGCCTTTGGCCGATGAAGTTCCGTTGTGCTGAATGGATGAAGTGGCCATGCTTTGTGGTCACATTCATGTTCTTTGTAGTGTTTCCTTTGTGCTTTGCTGAGGCCGGTGTAGTCCCCCAGTCCCCCACTGCTTCAGGCCGATGCAGTGTGAGGGGTGAAGGAGTTGCATGAGTCCCTGGCCGAAGCGGTCTCTCCGTAGTCCCCCTGAATCCAACCCTCATGGCGATTTTCTGGCCAAGGTAACCCTGTGGGAGAACCCTTGTGCGCAGATCGCTTGTAGAGAGTTATCATCAAGGGTTAGTACGAGGAGCCGATGGCTGTGGGCTTCTTTGTTCATTTTGTTCTGTGGCCGTTATGGGTGTTTGTTACGTTCCTGGCCGTTGCCGTCTCCTTATTGTTTGGCAGTTGTGGTCTTGGCGAGCGAGTGGGACGTTGTGGGCGCTTGCTGGTACTTGTAAAGCCGGCAAGTGTGTAGGCCGTTGGAGTCTGGTTTGCCAGTGGGCTGTTGATGTGGGTTGGGCCTGGCCCGTTGGTGACGTGGTGGCCTCCCGTTGGTGGCCGTTGATGTGGCCATTGGGAGAGTGCCACGTGTAGTGACCGTTGGGTGGAGGGGTCTATAAATACCCCTTCCCCTCCGACGAGGAATCACATTTGCATTCTGAATTGTCGAAGTGCTGCCCATTTTTCTAGAGAGATAAACTCCCAAGCTTGTTCTTCGTGTTCGTCGTTGTTCAAGGTTAGTGTTCATCACGATCTTCCTCACTTTTCATATTTTGCTTCCTAGACTAGTGATCTAGTGTTAGGTGTTTGAACACCCTTAGATCTTAAGTTAAATCTCCTTAGGCCCGTAGTAGTAGTTATGAAGAGCTTGAACGACGACTACTACCCCTACGACGACCAGCCCTCCACGAGGTCGCTTGACTACGAGGTGCTCAAGGAGTTTGAGGATGAGATAGAGCGTTTAAGTCCATACAAATCCGGAGAGCCAGTGGACGAGGAAGGCGAGGACGAGGAGTCCGCCTCCTCTTCAAAGGGTGAGGACGTAGGTGCGTCCCGAGTGGTGGACGGGGCGTCCACTTCTGCTGTCATTCCGTGCCCGAGGCCGGTGTCTGCTGTGAAGGGAGCAGCTAAGCCGAAGAGAGTGAGGAGGCCGAAGAGTGGGCCGGGCACTTCCCAGTTGGATCTCACCAACATCGTCCTGATCAAGCCGGAAAGCAGTGCGGCCGACTATCTCGTTGCCCAGATGTACGTGGGGCCGTTCGGGCGGGTTAGGGCACCCAGGCCGACGGACCATGTTCTTCTTCCGCCACCGGGATACTTTGGAGTATACCCGATGAGTTTTGCTAAGGGGTTGAGGTTCCCCCTTCACCCTTTCATTACCGAGTACCTGGACATGGTAGGGCTTCCTCCGGCCCTGCTGACGCCGAACAGCTACTCCCTGATGGTGAGGTTCTTGCTCCGGTGTGAGGAGTTGGGCTACAGGCCGACAACGGCCTTATTCATGAATTTGTACCAGATCGGCCGAGGAAGCCACAAGAACTGTGCGGCCTATGCTACTCTTCAACAGCTGCCGAAGAAGAGGAGTTTCACGGATTTGCCTACGTCCATTCATGGGTGGAAGAGCAAGTTCGTGTTTGTGTCCATTGGTGAGAGTGGCACTGAGTTTCCCTCCCTCGGCCACACCGGGAGGTTTAACCTGCATGACCCGTCGAAGAGCTCTATTTTGGACGCTCAGGTGGAGGCTTTCTTGGAAGGGGGGCCGAGGAGCGTGAAGGATTACATCACTGAATACAAGATGGCCGCCCTCGGCTTCGTGAGGTACTATGTCTATGGTGACAAGGAGGATGACCTCCAACTCTGGCCGAGGATGACCACCACCTTTGAGGAGGCCGACGGCCCGGACTTGGGCATTCCTGCTGAGGCCGATGGTAATTCTTTCTTCGGCTTTCTGTCTTTATGTTTTGTCCTTTGCCTTACTAATCTGTTTGTGTTTTTCCTTTGTAGATTTTGTCATGGACCGTCGTTCCATGATGGCTATTGCCAAGGCCAAAGCGGCCAGGGAGATTGCTGCTAAGGCGGCCGAGGCGGCCAGACGTGCCGCGGCCGGTGGGAGCGGGGCTACTGCTGATGCGGCCCCAAAGCCTGCTCCATCGAAGAAGAGAAGGCCGGCCACTGACGGCCAAAAGAAGTTAACTGAGGCCGGCGTGAGCGTCTCGAAGAAGACGAAGTGGGCTCCTTCCCCTTCTCCGGCTACTGAGGCCGGTACTCTGACTGTCCCCATCGTGGACGATGGTGGTCCCGTCGTGGACCTTACTGTTGCTGACGATGCTGCCCCAGCGCTTCCTCTCGTCCAGGAACCACGGACGAAGAGGGCCGGCAAGGAGATTGCCGGTGCCACCTACCAGAAGGTGGTAGAGTACCCCGTCGGCGGGGGCGTGTTTAATGATCTCGTCCCTGGCCACGTCGTCCTGGCCCAGGCCATGCCGGCCAAAGATCGGGCTTACTTGAAGAAGCTCGGGGACGAGAAGATTTACGAGGGCGGCATGGACCTCTTCGTCCAAGTAAGTTACTGTCCCTATGTTTTTGTCTCTCTTCGTCTGTGTAGAGTCTCTTGCCTGACCTTTGTCTTTCTTCTGCAGAGTGCCTTTATGCTTATGGAAAGCCATAAGAGGCAATATTGGGAGATAGCTCGCTTGAAAGGGCTGGAGCAGAAGGCTGTCTCGGCCGACGAGGCGGTAGCTTGCCTTGATCGGCTCCGGGAGGATGCCAAGACGTTGCAGGCAAAGGCTGATGAAGCCGCCGCAGCCAGGGACGATGCCCTGGCCAAGCTCGAGGAGAGAAAAAGGGAGCTCGAGGAGTCCCAAAGGGCGCTTGAGGCCGAGAAGCGCAAGAGCGAGGAGGCCGCTAAGGCGAAAGCTGAGGCCGAGGCCGCCGCTGTGAAGGCTGCTGACGAGGCCGTCGAGAAATTCCTGGCCGAGGGGTGGAAGGCCGATGAGAGGCTCCCCTGGTGCTACGAGGTGGTGGCCGCCAGGCTTGAGAGTTGGGGGATGAACTCCCCCGCCGGCCGGGAGTATTTCAGCCAGGAGATGTCCGTTTATTACAACCTGGGCCAGGAGCGGATGCAAAGGCTCCTGTGTCGGCGGCTATCCCGGGCGTTGAAGGCCATGAATTACACGTCTGGGTGGGCTAGACGGAACCTGAAGCTGCCGAAGCTGATGAAGGATCCAGAAGAGCAGGCCAAGCTTCCGCTGTCGGAGCGAGAGTCCCCCATTGAAAGCTCCGGCCTTGGCGAGCCGTATTATACTGAATTCGATTTCTTAGACGATGCCACCAGCGCCGCAGCCACTGCCGGCCAAGAAGCTGAGGCCGATGAGGGAGCTGATGAGGTTGAAGAGCCAGCCGCGGATGAAGGTGCCCCGGAGGCTTGATCGGCTATTCCCTGTTGTAATTAGCTTTTCAATTTTTTGCCAAATGATGTAACGGCCGAAGTGCCCCCCAATTGTAATGAACTTTATCAATTGAAGAAATTTTTGCTGTCCTTTTCGGCCTTGAATCCCTTGTATGCTTGTTTGCTTTTTGTCGTTTCGATTCTGTAAATTGTCTGAGTGTCGAGTCATAACTTGGGTCACCCGCGAGTGTCCGCTACGTCCGTGAGGCCGGCCTTCCTGTCCAGTAGTCTGGTCGGCCTATTCATCTTTGCTTTACTATCATAACACTTAGGATTTTTTTTCAAAATTTTCCTAAGTGTTTTGGATTCTTGTAGTTGCTTCCCTTCCGGCCTGGTGGCCTTGTCGGCCTAACCGGTGTTGATGTAGTATCATAACACTTAGGCTTTTATCAAAAATTTCCTAAGTGTTTTTGGGTTCACTTAGGTGCTTTCCTTTCACCCTTGATCGTGGTGTCCGCTACGTCCATGGGGTTTAGTCTCTCCCCATTATTGGCAAATGGTTGGGGTGATTTGCCAAGTGTTGAACCAGCGTCATTGTCGGCCTGCATCCCTGTGTTGTGGCCGATAAGGGCGCCTTCACCTAGATCTTTTGAACTTAGAATTTTTTCCAAGTACACATGCAAAGGCGTAGGTAGCTAACGGCCTTGGAGTATACAGGTATCCGCTTCGTCTAGAGTTCCTCCATTTGAGTACTTAGAGAATTTTCTAAGTATATGAATGTAAGGCATGTACTTCTTTGTGGTACCGCTGTCGGCTAGGCGGTGGATCTGCCATCATCGTCCAATGTTTGGCTGTGTGGCCGATGAGGGTGCCCCTTGCTTTCCACAAGATAGGGCCCTACCTTTGTCGGCTAGCCCTAAACACTTGAATAAATTCACAAAGGCCTTTTTGCTCGACCAACAGCCGGGGCTCCGGTGCCTGTATCGGCTATCCGGGGTACTGTGGCCAGAAAGGATTGTTCTGTTTGCCTGATTCTTCCGCGGGTGCGATAAGTGCCCGCTTCGTCCTGGTCATCTTCAGGATTGTGTTTCTTTGTTTCATACCAAGCGTTGGTGCTTCACCGGACTGTGGCCGAGGAAGGTTACCTCTCGCGTGTCACTCAACCGATGCGGTTAGGGTTTTATAGGCGTGTGTTTCGGCCTTGATTATTCCCTTGTAGTGTGTGGACGTGTCGTCCATGTCACCTGTCAGTGGTACTACACTTGTGTTCAACTGATATGTACTTGGCCTAGTTGGGTCTGAGTTGTGGGGATTTTATTTTTCATTGCTCGAGGCCGGCAAGTGTGCGCGGCCGTCGGCTTCCCTCTTTTTCCCTTATATATATATATATATATATATATATATATATATATATATATATATATATATATATATATATATATTGTTTCGGGGGGTATCCTTCTTTCAGGCTTCGGCCGAAGGGTGTGCTCGTCCTTCGGCCGGTTCGGACTTCGTTTATAACGTCCGTGGTCTCAGGGCGGGTCCCGTCGCCTATTTATGACGCGGGCTAGACTTTTGGTCGGTTTCCAACGGCTGTCGTTGCCCATCCCTGAGTTTTGGGATTTTGTCACCTCGGCCATGATTTCAGGCCTGTCGTCCTGCGTTCTGGCGCGTGGACGACGCGGTGAGCTTCCCGTTTCAAGACGTGGGCCGTTTGCGGGCCCCTCGTCCTGGGGACATCGTCGGCCATACCTGAGTGTTTCACTTCTAGGCTTACGGGGCCAGGACGATGTGCTCTCTCAGCTAGGCCTGAGCCTTTCGTTGATACAAAATACAATGGAGTGCCTGAGCTTGTCGCTCGTAGGCTGCAAATGCAAGGGGCCATGTCGGCCAGACCTGAGCCTTTCGCTCTAAGGTGGCCGACGAGGGCACCTGCTAATGTTTTACTTTGAATTTCCAGAGAAAAAATCAGAACATGATTTTATTCATAAGTGGCTCGAGGCCGAGGGTGGCGTTCAATCAGTAACCCGTTGAGGGGTGAGGGCTTCGCCGTCTACACCTCCTTCGGATTACTGATAAAACTTCACCAGATGGTGTACATTCCATGTTCGTGGTACATTGGACCCATTCGGGCGTTTAAGCTTGTAGGTGACGGGTTTGACCACGGCACTGACGATGTAGGGCCCTTCGTACTTCAATGCTAGCTTGCCACCCTCTGTCGGCTGGCTTGCTTCCCTTCGGCGGAGGACGTAGTCCCCCACCTGAAATTCTCGGGAACGTACCTTGGCGTCATAGTATGATTTTACTTGACGCCGGTAGTTCTCTGCTCGGACGTAAGCTTGCTCACGCCTCTCATCGACCAGGTGCAGGTCAATCTTCATGCTTTCCTCATTGGCGTCAGGCTCGTATTGTTCCACCCGTCGGCTGGGGATGGCAACTTCCGTGGGCGCCTTTGCTTCAAAGCCGTAGCATAGGGCGAAAGGCGTTTCACCTGTCGCCCTCCTCGGCGTGGTTCTGTAGCACCACAGGATGTTGGGGAGCTCGTCGACCCAACTACCTCCTGCGGCCTGGAGGTTCTTCTTCAACCCTTCCATAATTGTTCTGTTGGCGTTCTCGACCTGCCCGTTGCCCTGAGGATAGGCAACGGAGGAGAAACGGTGCCTCACCCCAAACTCCCGGAGGAGCTCCTGGAAAAGGGCTGCCTCGAATTGGGTGCCGTTGTCTGATATGATCTCCTGGGGGACGCCAAAGCGTGTGATGATGTTCTTGTAAACAAATTTTTGGCATCTGGCCCCCGTGATGCTGGCCAAGGGCTCCGCCTCGACCCACTTGGTGAAGTAGTCGACGGCGACGATGATGTAGCGGTTATTCCCGGCGGCTCTGGGCAGGGGGCCGACCAGGTCAATCCCCCATCTGGAGAATGGAATTGTGGTGCTGACAGGGGCATAGTTGACAGCTGGCCGACCAGGGGCCTTCTGGAGTACCTGGCATGTGGTGCACTTCCTGGCCAGGTCAGCGCAGTCGCGTGCCATCGTCGGCCAGAAGAAGCCCTGGACGACGAGACGCCGGGACATGCTGAAAGGGCCCTGGTGTGAGGAGCAGACGCCACAATGAACTTCTTCCATGGCTGTGTCGGCCTCGTCCTGGTGCAGGCATCGGAGGAGAGTGCCATTATAGGACCGTTTGTAGAGTTTGCCATCTTCGATGGTGTAGCTTGGGGCCCTGAGTTTGGCAAGTTTGGCCCTCTCCTCGTCCGGGGGCAGCTCCCCCGTTGTGATGAAGGTGGCGATGTCGGAGATCCAGTCCTCTGGTCGCTGTTGGACGCACGAGACGGGGCTGGCATGGATGCTGGACATGCTCAACTCCTCGATCTTGGCCAACTGGGATATGTGCTCCGGGGTGTCCGAGCTGAGCTTGGAGAGGATGTCGGCTTCGGCGTTCTCGGCCCTTGGGATCTGAGTGATCTCGTGGGTTTCAAACGCTTTCAGCAACTCCTCCGCCGCTTGTTTGTACTGCTTCATCCGGCCTTCCTTTGCTTCGTACGATCCCTCCACCTGGCCCACTACCAGTTTGGAGTCGCACTTGATTTTGAGGTGCTTGGCCTTGAGGCCCGCGGCGAGTCTGAGACCGCTGAGGAGGGCCTCATACTCGACTTCGTTGTTGGATACCCTGAAGTTGAAGCGGATGGCATAGTAAGCTCTGAATCCTTCAGGGGATATGAGGACGATGCCGCCGCCGCATGATTTCGCGGCCGACGAGCCGTCAGTGAACATGGTCCATGTATCGTCCTGCTCCGGCCCGGGGTTGGCGACGGCCGTCTCCCTTGCTGTGCATTCGATGACGAAGTCGGCCAAGGCTTGCCCTTTGATGGATGGCCTTGGCTTGATTTCAATTTGAAATTGGCTGAGGAAAATTGCCCATTTCACCATCCTCGAGGAGCTTGTGGGGCTCCTCATGAGTGCGCCAAGAGGCTGCTGGGTCAGCAAATGGACGGTATGGGCTTGGAAATAGTGCCCCAGCTTCTTCACTGTGTGGACGATGGCCAGCACCGTCTTCTCAATGGGGGAGTACCTGAGCTCGGCCTCCCTGAGTGTCTTGCTGATGTAGAAGATGGCCTTCTGCACCCCTTCGTCCTCACGGATGAGCACGGAGCTGACGGCCGACGTGCTCACCCCTAAGTACAAGAAGAGGGTTTCGCCGGCTCTGGGCTTGGAGAGCACGGGCGGGGACGACAAGTACCTTTTCAATTCGTCGAATGCTTCCTGACACTCCGTCGTCCACTTGAAGCTGTTGGCCTTTCGCATGATCTGAAAGAAGGGGAGTGCCCTCTCGGCGGACCTGGAGAGGAACCGGTTCAAGGCCGTCAGGCGCCCCGTCAGTCGTTGTACCTCCTTGACGTTGCGGGGCGGCTCCATGTTGATGATGGCCTGCGTCTTCTCCGGGTTTATCTCGATGCCTCTCCGGCTGACCATGTAGCCAAGGAACTTGCCGCCCTGGACGCCGAAGGCGCACTTCTTGGGGTTAAGGCGGAGCCTGAACTCCTTCATTATTTCAAAGATTTCCCGGAGGTCGTCGGCGTGGGAGGTGGCCTGCCTGCTCTTGACGATCATGTCGTCGACGTACGCCTCCATCGTCCGGCCAAGGACCGCTCTGAAGATTTTGGCCACCATCCTAGTATAGGTGGCGCCGGAGTTTTTGAGTCCGAAGGCCATGACGAGGTAGCAAAAGATTCCCTCTGGGGTCATGAATGTCGTCTTCTCGGCGTCATCTTCATGCATGGAGATCTGGTGGTACCCTCTGAAAGCGTCAAGGAACGACATCAACTCGCACCCCGCCGTCTCGTCCACCAGCTGATCAATGTTGGGGAGAGGGAACGGGTCCATGGGGCATGCCTTGTTCAGGTCAGTGTAGTCAACACACATTCTGAACGACGGCGGTTTTTGTGCGAGGACGACGTTGGCCAACCATGTCGGGTACTTCACCTCTTTGATGTGTTTGATTGAGAGGAGCATGGCGACCTCCCCTTTGACGAAGTCCCGCCTGTCGGCGGACAAGTAGCGTCGCTTCTGTTTGACAGGTGCGGAGGCCGGATCGACGGTCAGCCGGTGAGTGATCACCTGGCGGCTGATGCCTGGCATATCGTCCGGGCCCCACGCGAAGACAACGGCGTATGACCGTAGGACGAGGAGGATGGCGTCTCGTTGGTCCCGGGGGAATTTCTTTCCGACCCTGAGCACCCGCTCCGGTCGGGAGGTATCCAGAGGGATTTCCTCGACCTCCTCGGCCGGCTCCGCATGTGGCCTCTCCTCGTCCGTGGCGACGGCGGCCGTAATGGTGTCTATCCTCTGTCCTTCCCTTTCGGCTGGCCTTGTTAGCTTGAGGTAGCAAGCTCTGGCTATCCTCTGATTTCCTCTGGCGTAGCCGATGCCGTCATTGGTGGGGAACTTCAAACATAAGTGCTTCATGGAGATGATGGCCTCCAAGTCCTCCAGCGCTTGCCGGCCCAAGATCAGGTTGTGGGCGCACTGGAGGTTGACCACCATGAACTCCATGTCAATTTTGGCGTGGTGGGGGCCGTCACCGACTTCCACGGGGAGGACTATCGTGCCCTCGGCGTCGATAGAGTCCCCGGTGAAGCCGGATAACGGGGTCTTGATCGGCTTCAGCAAAGCTCTGTCCAGCTTCAGCTGCTTGAAGGTGTCCAGGTACATCACGTTGACGGAGCTCCCCGTATCGATGTAAGTACGGTGGATGATGGAGTCACCGATCTCAAATCGGATGACGAGGGCGTCCCGGTGTGACTCCGTACCCGGAGGCATTGTCGGTGAAGGTGATCGCCTCCGTTCGTTGTTTCTTCGGCTGGGGGGGGGACGTGGGACACCTCCCCGATGTAAAGGGATTGGGCCCATTTCTTTCTCTGAGTGGCGGAGTCCCCCCCAGTGTTCTCACCTACGATGAGGTGGATGTGATTCTTCTTCGGCGGAGGCTCCTCGAAGTCCTCGTCGTCGCTGAGCCTACCAATCTCGCGCTTCTTCGCAGAGGGTTCGCCCCCATGTTTGCCGGTGTTTACCCAAGTGTTTTTTCGTGGGCCACCTTTGACAAACTGGGAGAGTTCCCCCTGGCGAATAAGGCGCTCGATGGCCTTCTTCAATGTGATGCAATCGTCGGTGTTGTGCGACGAGTTCTTGTGGAACCGGCAGTACGTGCCGCCCTGCTGGATGGCAAGGATCTCCTCGGCCGGCCGAGGAGCCTGCTCGATGAGGTCGTGCTTCTCGGCATAATCGAGGATGGTGCCGACCGGGTGGGTGAGGGTTACCCCCGGCCGTTCCAGCCTCGGCCGCCAGTGGCGGTCTTTCTTACTCTGTCCACCAGAGCCGTGGCGGCCGTGGGCACCCTGGCCGGCCAGGGACGGACCCGGGGCCGGCGAAGGATTTGTCTTCTTGGGGGGATGGCCCCCCTCTCTCTTGTGATTGTGGAGCTCGTCGGCGTCGGCATACAAGCCTCCGCGTTGGAGCGCCTTGGCGTACGACCTCGGGGGGTCAGTGATGAGGCTCCTGGCGTACGGGGAGCTGCGGAGGGCTCCCTGGTACAAGGCGAGGAGGGTGCGCTCATCGGCCCCCTCGACCTCCTCGGTCTCCCTCGTCCACCGATCGATGAATGACCAGAGGGACTCCTCGTGCTGCTGCTTGACGGAGAGGAGGTGGGTGAAATACTTCTTGGCGCGCTTCCTCCCGGCAAAGTGAGTGAGGAAGCGCTGGGCGAGATCCTGCCACGAGTCAATGCTTCCTTCTGGCAGCCCGTTGAACCACTCGTACGCTGGCCCCTCGAGAGTAGAGAGGAACCAACGGCAGAGGTATTCGTCGGACGCGTTCACCATCAGCATGTTGTTCTGGTAACGGCTGAAGTGCTCCTGGGGGTCTGATCGGCCATCGTAGGACTTGATGGCGTTCCCCCTGTACTTCTCAGGGATGGGGGCCGAGAGGACCCTGTCGGTGAAAGGGGTCCTAGTCCTGACCTGGATGATGGGGTCACCCCGCCCTTCGGCCAGCTCCCTCTCCAGGGCGCTAACTTTGTTCATGAGCGCGTTGAGGCCGGGGTCGTTGGAGGCGCCGACCGTAGGGATGTTGGCCGACTGTTTGGCCTCCATCTGAGCCAGCCTCCTTTCCAGCTGAGCGATGACCTCGTCCCGAGGGTCCCTGTCGGCCGCGCCGGCGCCCGGTTGGTTCCTCATGCGGTTGTTGTGAGCCGCGTTGATCTGGTGGCGCACGTCATCCTCGTGCAACTTCCCCTTGCCCTTGTCCGGGCGGGGCTGGTCCGCTGTCCGGGACACAGACCCCAAACTTTCCCTTGGCGAGCCAGGACAAAGATCACCAATCCGTCCCGCCATCCTCTCCGAAACCGGACGACGGCGCGTGTCACCTAGCCTATTGAAGGCAGAGGCTTTTCCACGCGCTGGGGTCTGCCCGGGCCGAAGAGGGGAAGCGGGGTGGGAGTGGGACGACGCCGTGTCCTGGGCCACGACCCCCTCATTGTTGCCTATCTGGACGGCCAACGGTTGGGGATGAGGAGGTGGAGTGACGTTCCCCCCAGTCCTTGGCAAGAGTGCGCTGAGGACGGTGGGGTTCTGAGCTAGGCTGGCGATGATGACCGACAGCGCGGCCTGGACCTGTGGATCCACGGACGGAGAGGCCGCGGCCATAGGCTGGGCCGGGGCGTGATCCGTCTTTTCAGCTCGCTTCTTGTCCAAGCCGAGGCGGGCATCAGGGGCGCCGCCGTTGAGTTGGTTGCGGAGGTCCGTTGTGAGGTTGAAGGCCTCCTGGAAGAGGTCCCCTCCGCCGGCCTGGTCGGCCGTGGCGTCCTCATCGCGCTCCCTGGGCTCTTGGTCCTCAGGGATGGCTTTGCTGACGAGGTTGCGGTTTGACTTAATTCTCCCCATGATCAGTGGTTAGCTGTGCTTGGTAGCGACGAAGGGTGCTAACTTGATTGTTCTAGCTCTCAACGAGAGCACCAAATGATAGAGTATATCTAGAGAGAAGTGAGAGCTAGAGAGAGAAGTGCAATAATATGCTTCAATAGAATGATTTTGTCACCCCTATAACTACTCCCAAGGGGAGTATTTATAGAGAAAATTAGGGCTGGGCTCCCAAGTCTTGGGCTTGGGAGGCCCATCTACAACTGGACCGCTACTGGGCCGGATACAAAGCCACTAATGGGCTGTACAAATGAGTAAGTGTAAAATCCGATTCTGGGAGGTCTTCTTGGCCGACGAGGGCGCGGCCGACGAGGGCACGGCCGACGAGGGCACCCGGGTTCCTTGGACTCAGGACCATAATCCGAGTTGACCCCTTTTCGGCCGACGGGGGCGTCTTGGCCGACGAGGGCGCCACTCTGTTGTCTTGTGCTTTCTGTTCTTCCGAGTATGTGGGTCCGGGGGCTCAGACCCATATACTCCATCACATTTATACACACACACACACACAAATATATATATATATATATATATATATATATATATATATATATATATATATATATATATATATATATATATATATATATATATATATATATATATATATATATATGGGTGAGATCACATACAAACCAATGAAACCATGTTTAAATTACTAACCTACAAACTCAATAATATGCAACACTTTGAACTTCAATATGCAGTACAAATAATGTAAAGATGCACTTTTTGAATTTCAATATGCAATACAAATAATGTAAAGATGATTTGAATGGAAGGACTACTTTGTATGTTATCTCACCCCTGCATCTTTACATTATTTTTACTGCATATTGAAGTTTAAAGTGAGGTATATTATTGAGTTTGTAGGTTAGTATTTTAAGCATAGTTTGTATTTGATCTCTTATATATATATATATATAATTATTACTACTTCTGTTACAAAATGAAAGTGACATATTGGCATACAAGATTCACTAGTTGGATACTTGGATGTATAACAGTTTAAGTTCATCATCAGAGTATCAGACTAATCTTTTGTTATTTACTAACAAGTGGTGGGGCGAAAAATGTTCAATTAGGAAACAGGGCTTAAAATTTTATATTATTAGAGCCAGAGCTTAAAACTTTAACAAATGTTATAGTGTTATACTGTTATGTATATCATAAATATTTACAAATAGATATGAACATTAGATTTTTTTCTTGGAGACAAAGGCGTATGCCGCCTCTCCCTGTCTTCTCCAGTCGGTACTCGGGTAGTTTGTTCTTGCTATCCTCGACACATACAATTTTTTATTGGAACTTTAGTTTTCTAAACAATAAATATTCCAGAACCTGGGAATCAACATGTTATTATGACTTGAGTACCACTCCATTAACAACTACGTTCAACAACCACGGGAGCTCAATACAGAAAAATGTACAAAGGAAGCTTAATTCACAAACAAAATAACTCATAAAGAAAAAGGTAAAATAGGGAAACCAACAAAAAAAAGAATAAAATCACAGGGGCACAAGTTGTCCACACTTTTCTTAGTGCTACGGGGAGATCTCGGTTTACCCAAAACAATGAACAAATTGCTTAACACTCACATCCAGACGGCCTCTGCTGGTTGCTGCTCCCGCCAACATCTATGGTGTCCGGCAAGTATCTTCACCACAAAAATCACCCCAAATTATCAAAACTATTAATTTAATTACAACGATATCAATTGATTACAAAATTAAGAGACTGGTAACCCATTTTTCGTCTTTCCAGCATTTTTTTACCACACATTGAACTTTTGATTTCAGTTATAAATAGTGTAACAATCATAAGAAGTAAGGTTGGAGTTACTTTAGAGAATGAACTTCCTAGAGATGCCTATTTTAACATTTTTCATATAACTTTATTTTATTTTATTAACTTTTTCATAATTCAGCACACATTTCAAATATAATTTCAGAAATTGCGATAGATTCAGCCGACTTAGCCAATTTTAGTGTCACAATTCACAAATGGACTGTAGGACTTGGAATATTCATACTGGTAGAGAGCACCAGAAGTTGTTTCTACTTCAACATGGTGAATATGCAATAATCAAAAAACCACCTTGTACAAGAATGATCAATCAATCAGCATACGCTAAACAATCGAATAGCTCTTGTGGAAATAAGAGGAAGCAAAGCAATTTATTGGGCATTGTGATGTGATGTTTTAAGGAAAAATAAAAAATAAAAGCATCTAGAACAGCACCAAGTCAATTAAAAAAACATCCATATTCCAAGTTACGTGAATCAAGCCAATTAAAAAGCCACCATATTCCAAGTTACACCATATTGCAAAGATGGATTTGGTTATGAACATAGAGGCTGTTTAT